ATATTCAATTCACATATACGTTTTGGAGATCACGGAAAAATTTTGCCATTAGTACCTTAATCCAAAAATGGTTATTTTTTTAATGCAATATGCGAGTGTACCTAATATTTGAAAACTTTCGGTATCAATATAAAATATCAAATTCTGCTAACTTTGGCTATATCTGCCACGCCAATATTAGTAATAATGAAAATAAATTATGACTAATTGTAATGGATGATGAAACGAGCTCGGTTGTGTTTTCCAATTGCCTGCACTACGAACGAAAAGTTATCCTCGACAACCTCACATATGTTCAAACTTTGCGCAGATGTTTCGTATTTTCACTCTGAACTGTTAAGTGCTATTTAGTATAAGGTTGCGCCCGCTATCGTATATAGCGTTGTTTCGCCATTCATCAAGGGAATTTCCTTCCCTCTCGCTCTTTAGCTTCTGTTTTTTTCAGCTGACCTGGCACCAATGCGTCACTCACATTTCCGGCTAACGAAGGACTATGTGTATTTACGTTTTTGTGCAAAACCAATTAATTTAGGGCGCTCCCGTCCATGTATCTCTCACCTGACAGGGGAGGAAATATTAATTCATTTCACTCTTTTGAAGGTCTTTCATTCTCCTGCACAGAATACGCTGACGCGCTCCGTTGCGGTATCAGATCGCCATGGACACGGAATCTATTTCATTTCACGGTCGTAGATACACATTTTTCTTTCCCACCGGGATATATTGTTGTTTTTGTGGAATCGGCACAGTAAAAATTTATGGCAATAGATGTATTTAATTCCATGCACTGGGATGATTTACGAAACAGGGAATCAGCCGCGACGTCACTGGAAGGCCGCATAGAGGCGGGGCTTTGGGCGCGGGCGATGGCGGTGGAGCGATGGGCGGGGTCGAAGGGGCGGGCGAGAGAAGCGCCAACAAAGAGAGATGATGAGTGTTGTGGTGAGGCAGAACAGTTCGTGATAGTCCGATCAACGCGTGGTGCATGCGATATGGGGAATGTTTCATTGGGAATAGGTAGAGTAAAGGAGAGATTTTTGGAGTATGGGCGAGAGAGAGAGCGAGAGAGGGAGAGGGAGGAAGGGAGGAGGGAGGGAAAGAGGAGGGAGATGGAGAGAGAGAGATGCAACAGATTGGAGGGATGGAGCTAACATCTGCTTCTGCTCCTTAGGGAATAAGGAATGGCATGAATGAAGCAACAGAGGCAACAGTGATACAGGGGTGAGGGTGGTAGAACCCAGTGAGTTCACAGTTCACAGTGTGAATATCGATCAGGTAGGAGTGGAAGGTTAAATGCAACGGTGCATATGGCAATATAATGGAGCAGGAGGCAACGTTGGTCGCGACAGCGACGGTATAGGTATGTGAAACAGGCTAAGGGTGCAGGAACTAACTGAGATAGTGGTAGTTGGAGATGATGGGGGTGTAAAGGGGTGTACGCGGAAGCACTGGATGAGTGAGCATTACGACGACGACAGTGCATGGCGTTAGAGCTGGCATAAATGGTAATGGAGCCGTGACGGGGGCGAGATCTCAAGAGGAAACAGGGAATCGGGCCGGTACGTGCCAGGCTCGGAGAGAATACAAAATTCGGGAAAGCATAACCGTCGGAGTGGGAGTGTGGAGGCGGATCGAGGACATAGAGGGCGAAGTTAGACTTGAACGGGTGTGGACGGGTCGAGGTGGGGCGGGGCCTGGCGTGGAGGTAAGGAAGGGTCTTGGCAGGGAATGTCAGATTTGGTGGACGGGGAATGGGACAAAGCAGATGCAAAGGGCACTGGTTATTCGGAGAATTAAGGAAGATGGGGACAGCGACGACGGAGGAGGGGTGGAGGTGAAGGAGGAGTGGGACGCGCGAAGTGGATCGAGGAGGGGGTGGCATAGTGGGGTCGCGCACAGGGCGACGAGAGTGTTGATGTGGTGAGGTGTCGGAAGCAAGTGGGGCCCAGCTGTGGGAGTGGTGACGATAACGGAGTGGGGGG